GCACGATATGGACAGGAATGTGCAGACGCTCCTACAAGCTGATTTACAGAGCACTGCTGATTTTGATCTTTGGGAAGATTAGCTGTTCTGCCTTGCTGGCTAAAGTAAGCTGCTTTAGAGATGAAATGAGGAACGGGTTTTAAAGGACTTTTATCCACTTCCTGCCACCTGAATTGGTACCTTTTAAAGGTTAAAACCCACTGAGTTATACAGTTCGGTTTTTAAGTTGCTATCATTTATAGCATAAAACATATAGCAATGAAGTAATTCTGAAATTGATAACCCTAATCTGAAGAATCAAAAAATTAGATGAATGCAAACATTAATGCATTTTAGCAGAAGTCTAGGCTGCATTAAAAAACATATTCAGGCATCTGTGGTGGCATGGATGGACCTGGAGGGTATTGTGCTGAGTGAAGTGTATCAGACAGAGAAAGACAGATACAGTGTGATATCATTTATATGTGGAATCTAAAGAATAAAATAAACAAACAAGCAAAACAGAAACAAACTCATAGATACAGAGAATGTTTTGATGGTTGCCAGAAGGGAGTGGGTTTGGGAGTGTGGGTGAAAAAAAGAGGAAGGGCTTAAGAGTACAAATTGGCTGTTACACAGTCATCATGGGGATGTAGGGTACAGCATAAGGGATACGGTCAATACTAGTGTAGTAACTATGTATGGTGTCAGATGGGTACTAGACTTATTGGGATGACACATGGGCGGGGGATGAGGGCAGGGTGAAAAAGATGAAGGGATTAAGATGTACAAATTGGTAGTTACAAAATAGTCATGGGGATGTAAAGTAAAGCACAGGGAATGCAGTCAATAATATAGTAATTTTGTATAGTGCCAGGTGGATACCAGTCTAGTCAGGAAGATCACCTCATAAATTATACAAATGTCTAACCACTATGCTATACACCTGAAATTAATATAAAATAATACTGAATGCTAACTGTAATTGAAAAAAATAAAAAAGGAAGGAATAAAGCGAAGGGGAATAGGAGGTTAAAATTTCCAGGTATAAAACAAATAAACCATGGGATGTAATGTACAGCATGGGGAATATAGTCATTAATATTGTGATAGCATGGCACAGTATCAGGGGGTTGCTGGAGTTATGGTGATCACTTCTTTAGGTATATAAATGTTGAGTAACTATTGTGTACACCTGAAGCTAATATAATATTGTGTTGGCTATATTTTAATAAATATCTTTTAAATAAATAAATAAATTCAGGGGAAAAAGTGAAAGAGAATTTGAACTCGTTAATTGTCAAGATTATTTTTAGTATATCATCACTGCTCTTTACTCAGTTAAAACAATTTCTATATTGAAAATACCTATTTTGTATATGTGTGCAATATAGAATGAAGAATTTTATTTAATTTTACGTTCACAAACATACACATATACTAATTTCCTTTCATTTTTCACAAACAACATCAAGTTAATTGAAGCCAAGCAGGGTGGTAGAAACCTCATTGGCCTTAATGCCAGGATATATATTTGTATTTCAGCTCATGTGCATATTCAAACCATTCACCATCACCCTCATTTTTTGCAAATATGATGTTACTTCCGACTTTATAGAGACAATAATGCTCAGTAGGCAAGGCACTCCCCCCCGACACACACACACACACACACACACACACTCAGGCTGCATCACTGCATACTTATTTGCAGCCATTTTCTTTTTCTTTGCCTTCCTGTTTGATTATCTCATGGAAGTAAGCATACTATCACGGGTTGTTTCTTTCCACCTGAGATCAAGATCTACAGGGCCACTTCTATCTTAGTGCATCTTTTAAAATCAATTATCTTGTCTTCAGTATCCTCAGTTTCTTGTTTTTATTGACCTTTTACCTGTCTGCATAGAAACACACAGGCAGCCTTCCAGCTTACAATTAAAATCTTCATTTCATCATGTTCTCCTTTAGTTACCTCTTAACCTTTCTTTCCCGCTTTACTACCAACCTTCCCAAAGAGGACGGTGTGTTTCTTCTTTTTTCTTCATTACCTTGATTCACATTTTCTGTCCACCACACTGAATTCGCTCTCTCCAGTGTAGCAAAGACTAAATACTGGGGGTGCCAAAAAAATATACACATTTTAAGGAAGGAAAAAATTGGAATAAAATTGTAATACAGTGAATGACACTAGCATTCATTTGATTAATGCCATCTTTTGAGTGAATGTCATACTACACATTGCTATATAATTCAATGCAACTTCAAAAAGTATTACGCAGATAACATCTCTTAAAATGTGTATACCGTATTTGCCGGCGTATAAGATGATTTTATGGCCCTGAAAAATATGCCTCCAAGTGGGGGGTCATCTTATACACCAGGTACACTTCAGATAGACTGCCCATAGTGCTTGCCCCATGCCATAGTGGCCTCCCGATGCCCGCCCACTTCATTCCACATACCGTTCAGGCATCAGCAGCGCTGCTGGGTGTATGCTCGGCTGTTATGCGATTTTGCTGTTATGCGATTTTACGAGTGTGGTAAATTCGGGTTACCGTATATTTCTTTACATATGCATTGAAGATTCACGATTTTGCGCTATCATGGTGCCTGTTAGAATGTTGAAGAGCTCGCACTTGCACACTAGTGAGGTCCCAGGGAGATGCTGATGCAAGGGTGGACCAGACTGCTATAGTGACAGGGCGGGCAAACAGGGAGCAGGGACCAATCAAATCAGGCTTTGTATACAGCCAACAGCCAACCACAATACTGCACCATTGTACAGTACAGCATAGAAAATGTCGACCAGTCAAACCCCTATCATCCCTATCATGGCACCAGCCAAAAAAAGAAGTATGATGCAAATTTTAAACTGAAAGTTATAAACTTTGCTAAGGAAAATAATAATTGTGCTGCTGCAAGACAATATGGAGTAACAGAAAAGATGGTTCGGGACTGGAAATCAAATGAGAAAGCATTAAAGAGTATGCCAAGGGTAAGTGTGCATTAAGAAGAGGCACCCCACACTGGCCAGAACTCGAAAAACATGTAGCAGACATGGTGGCTCAACATCGCCAAAACGGTTATGTGGTGACACGAAATACAATACGCTTGTTTGCACTTCAGTGGGCCAAATCAAATCTGATATTGTTTTACCTTTTATTTGGTGTGTGGAAGGTGTGCGGAAGAGGGGGTAGTCTTATACGGCGAGTATATAACAAACTCTGTATTTTGAGTGGAAATGTTAGGGGGTCGTCTTATACGCCCAGTCGTCTTATACACCGGCAAATACGGTAAATTTTTTTGGCATCCCAGGTATTGACATCAAATGAGATCTAGTCAGTTCCTGCTTAGATACCTTCAATGGCTGTCCATTGGGTAAAAATGAGCAGGGCCCCATATACCCTGTACCCACTGACTTAATCCCTCACGGTCTCTGCTCCAGAATCAACAATATTATTTGATTTCTTAATGAGCCATGTTCAACCCACCTGCGACTCTTGGTGCAGTTTCTTTCCTCTTTCTGGAATGCTCTTCCTTAACTCTTTGCCTCTAACTCTTATGTTTCTTTCATTTCTCTGTTTATCCATGCTGAATATCAGACAGGGTCAAATATTCCAGATTTGCTTCCCCAGGGGTTTTCTATGACTCTCCTTCAAACAAAAGTTTTTATTATCGTTCTAGGAATGTATGTGACATTAATGCCTGCCAGCTTCCATAAACTGGAAGCTCTGTGCAGTCATAGATGGGGTCTGACTCTGCTCACCCTTCCATATTAATTGGCACATAAAAGATACTCAGAATTCATAGATTTAAATATATAATTAAATAATGACATGAAAATTGATTCTTTGTATCATCACATTTTTGACTGAGGTTTGACAATCTCAGGAGAGAAATATTGAAAAGAGAAGATATTTTGGGGGAATATATGAATATTTGATATAGACCAGTGATGATGAGTGCTCTGTAAGTATCTACACACTTTAAGTTCCACTTTGCAGGCCCCTGTGTAGCATGCAGGAGACAAGTGAATCATCAATTTTAAATCAATATAAAATTATGATTGTTAGAAGAATTAATAACATTTTATATAGTGTAAATAGAAAAGTACATACAAAATACATAGGTGATAGATATAGATAGGTAGATAGATAGATAGATAGATAGATAGATAGATAGATAGATAGATGATAGATAGATTCACTTCAATATCTACAGTAGCACATTAGGATACAATGTCTCAGCCTGTGTCCTGAACATGTTCTACAGTAGAAGAATCTGGAGTACTTGTTAAAAAGGCCAGTTCCTTAGCCCGACTCCAGTGTTTCTGAATCAGAATAAGTGACGGTAAGACCTAGGGATCTGAAAATTAGTAGATTTTCAAGCTGAAATCATGAAACATTTAAAGACCAAGAACGCTGCATTAGGAGATACATTTAAATCATTCCTTGGTAATTTTCTGAGTTCCACTTTATTTTTACAATGATCATTATGCGCTCTTAAAAGCAAAAAGTGACAGATGCAGTCAAATGACAAATTCTTAGGAATAAGAAAGAATAGGGGATAAGGTTAAGGGGTTCACCAAAGCTGCGTTGATGGATCAGAGACTATCAAGCAAAAACCTGTCTCCTAAAGAGTATTAGCTAGCACGGTGAAGATTTTTACATTATTTAGAAAAGTCTCCTAATGTTACTAGACTATTAAAACATAGAGTAACAACATTAATAGAACTGATATTGATGATAAATCTGTTATCTGAAAACAAAGGTGAGGGGGCAAATTCATGGTGCATTCTACATCAGATCTTCCCAACATCACAAAATACAATATATTGTAATTCCTAGGAGAGTATCCCGAGAGTCAGACACAGCCATAATTAAGATATAAATACATCTTAAAGAGGAAACATTTTATCATTTGAATGACCTGACAATATGGATTATTCATACTTCTGCCACATCTCCTTTCATGGAAAAATGGGTGACTTGCCTAAATCACTAACATTATGTTTATTTTACCTTCTTTAAGGAAAGGATCCCTTCTCTGGTCTCCTTGTCGGTGGAGATGGAGAATATCCCAACACCATCACCGTTAATGATGGAGTAGGTCATGTCAGCATTTGAACCAGTGTCCGCATCGTTTGCCTTGATTTTCCCTACAGCTGAACCAACTTGAGCTGACTCAGGAACATACAGCTGATAGTGCTCTGAAAAATATTAAATTTTTGATGATAATTATATTCATAAAATAATAACCTTACAAGAAAATGACATTAAAATATTTAGACAAATTTTTAAATGAACAATGTGTTAATGTATAAGTCATTTTCAAGTTTTAAATATTAGCATGCTACTTAATAATGAAATACTAGATTTATATAAACATTAACATGTATGCAAAATAGTCTACATGAAAAGAATGTGTAGATATTTGAATGAAAATATTTTCATAGCTCTACATCCATAAACAGAAAAACAGATGAGGGAGGTCAAGTTTACATTCCTATGTTGAGCAAAAAATGAACATAATGCTTAGTCGAGTATTAGTGTAATTTCTAAACCTCGCTCCATATATCATGTGATGTTAAAATATAAAAATGTGAGAACTTGGAATTCAAAGTGAAAAATAATATAGCCTAACTGTGAATGTGATTTTTACTTGGATCAATAAATTTATATTGAAATACATAAGCCATGACAAAGAGTGGCATTAAAAGTATTTATACATTTATTTATCATGCATTCCCAGTCAGCTTCTAAACAGAATTTGAAGTGGTTTTATATAAAGTAAAATATAAATAATGTTATAAATTTTTTTTAAAAAATAATGACCAAGTAAAGCCTGAGAAAGTACATATAATGACCACATGAGATAATGCAATATTTGTAATTAGCATTAATTTTTGACACTATATATTCTCTAGTCATCAATATTAAAACACTATTGATTCTATAAATCTCATTACCTATATGCAGAAACATATTTTTCAATATGTCCTGACACTAAATGTTTACACTGAAAAATACAAAATTTTCAAAATTTATCCTGATACTAAATTCATAGAACTCTCCCTATAGGAACTTATGAATTAGATATTAAGACAAATAGTGAACATGCCATTACCAATTGTTCTATTTACAAGTTAGACACATATCTATTAAAGACATTTATCTATTATAGCAAATATCAAATAGCAATATAAATAACAGGAACATCTAATTAATTTAGAATTTTATAGAAGAGTTTCAGCCAAGACTAAATTAATGGTGATTTAATATTATATATGGATATAATTAGGTGATATAAGTAAAAATGAAGAGCCTATATGAAAATAATTTCTCTGAGCAATTATTTATTTGTGGTATGATAAATTTTTTCAAGGTTATTGAAACTGGTAAGTGTATGAAATATTCTAATTTGCTTTTTTTTAAGATTTTATTGGGGAATTGGGGGAGGGGAACATTGGGGAATTGGGGAAGGGGAACAGACAAGTTGCTGTCCTTTTGTTCTTCAGTCTAGTTGTGGAGGACGTCGCTTCACTGGCCCATCTTGGTATTATCATTGCACTCTTCCTGGCTTAGGCAGATCAGTGGCCGGCCTCTGGATGGCTGCTCACAGCTACTCACAGAAGCTCACAAAAGCTCACGCCTGATGCGAGCCAGCCCCACTGCAGCCTCGCTGCAACTCATGGCAGCCCAGCTCCAGGTTGAGCTGTTGTTCACCATGTTAGCTGTAGAGGGTACAGCATCACCGGCCCACATGTGGGATCTGAACCAAGGCCCTGCTGCTCAGAGCTGGCATCCCAAGCCAGCTCTTAAGCAACACACCACTCAGCCGGCCCTAATTTGCTTTTAAAGATACATCTGTATGATTTAAAGTGCTATATGTAGGCATTAAAAATTGATTTGTGCAACAATGGTTCGATGCCCGGCCCCAGCTGAGCTGCCGCTGAGCTGCCAACAGGTAGCAAGATGGCTCAGCTAAAAATACAAAACAAAACAAAACAAACAAATTTGTGTGTGTGTGTGTGTGTCTGTTTATTTATTGTTCAACAAAGATATTTGCCAGTTCTCTTCTATGAATATTTGAGATAGTAGCTTACATTAAATATTATTTTTTAGTTCAACAGTCCTCATGAACATAAGGTTTCCCAGATAGAACACCCTCTTTTGTGAAGCACATTACTGTCTTAATGTCGTTCATCAATCTGGCAAGTGAATGAGGCCCAAATTTTACAGGACTCCGCCTTTCTTCTCGAAGGTGAATGATGAAAAGGTAGGCAGTTCATTCACAATGATCCAAAGAAAGTATACTTCCCAAAATGTTAGAACTGCAACCAGGAAAGAGCTTTAGTCTCTCTTTGGTGGCATGACAATGGAATATTGGAAGGGGTGTCAGACAATAACCGTGTTTCCAAAATTTATAGTGAAGACTTAACCTAAGGCACAAATTCAGCATCAGAAAGAAGCCATTATAATTTTTAGAAACCATGAAAATATCAAGATGTTCCTAGGCAGTTACATATAAAATAGGACATTATTCTGTTCAAAAATATATAGATAAACAAGTTACAAAATCAATTAGAACGTATTTCCTATTTTTGTTTTTTCCCCTGAGATAGAGGCTAGGATGTCAATTTCCCAGTTGCTCTTGCCTCAATGTTCCTGATAAACCATAACTTTCCTCAATTCTGTAAGCCTCTCAAAGGACTTTCAGCTACTTAATACTGGGATGATGACACCTGAAAACAAAAGAATTCTTAGTACACATAGGTAAAAAAGTAAATCACAGAATTATTACGATGGCACTGCTTACAAAGATTTTTATTAAAAAAAATGTTTTTAAAAAGAAAGTTGCAAAAAAACTGTACAAGTGAATCATAAGAGTGTCATGGCCCAGAAAGCATTTAGGCTGAGTCTTACAAGTGGAAACATACCCCTGGAAAAGTAAGATCATGTTCAGAGGAAGAATTGACACTTGTTGATACAGTCTAAGAATTGCAAGTATATTAATTCTTCCCCATTTACTATGCTTCATTAGACAAAATAGAGTATTTTAAGATCAATATTTTAACATTCTATGTACTTTTCATATAGTTTTTTACAAATTGCAGTCTACAGATTGTAAATTGCAAATCAGCTTTTAGCAGGCAGCTTGTAAGGTGGTCTCTGATGTTCCCCACCTCATGATATTTATGTCCTTAAGTAGTCCATTCCTGTCAGATGTTGGCTGGATATGATAACTCACTTCTGATTAATTAAATTCATCAAAATTAATGGAATGCCATTTCCAAGTTTATGTTACAAAAATACTGTGGTTTCTATCATGGGTGCTCTCTCTCTTTCTCTTAGATTGCTCTCCTGGGAAAATTGAGCTATCATATTGTATTGAAACCCTGTTAAGTGGACCAAATGACAAGTGACTAAAACCTGACAACAATCATGTAAGTAAGCAAAAAGCAGAAACCATCCTGCCCTCACTCCCAGGCAAACCTTTGGGTAAGACCACAGCCTTTCATGCCAGCTATACTGGGATCCCATGAACCTGAACTTGAGTCACCCAGCTAAGTCAAACTGAGATTCCTGGTATATTGAAACCATGAGATAAGAAATGTTGGTTGTTTTAAGCTGTTAAATTTGGACTGATTTGGAATATAGTAACAGATAGTTCACTTACAGCTCCATTGTAGTTGTCAGTTAATTGACAAACCCAATGGACTCTTTTTAGTTCTAGTCATCCTGTGGTACAATGTATAATGTTTGGGAACATTAAAACCAAAACAAAGCAAAAGTTTAAACAAGCAAATAAAAAAACATGGTACCACATGTATTCTTAGGATAAAGTATTCAAAATGTCTCCTAATCTCCATGTCTCCTTTTATAAATAAATCCGTTATTGTCATCACAGCTAATACCCAAGGTGAACCATTTTCCATAATCAAATTCTCAGCTCATCCTCCCAGAGGATACCTTCCCATCCAGTAATCATGCTTCTTGGTATTTACACAAAGGAGTTGAAAACTTCTGTCTATATAAAAGCCTCCACATGGATATTTATAGCAGCTTTTCAATTCATGACCAAATCTTTGTAGCCTCCAAGATGTCCTTCAGGAGGTGAATGAATAAATAAACTGTTCTACATCTAGACAATAGATTATTGAGTGCTAAAAAGAAATGAGCTATCAAGCCATAAAAAGATATAGAGGAAACTTAAATACCTATTAGTAAATGAAAGAACCCAATTTGGAATAGCTACCTACTGCATAATTCCAAATACATGCCATTCTGAAAGGGCAAAACTATGGAGACAATAAAAAGATCAGTGGTTGCCAGAGATGGGGTGGGGAGAGATGAATAGTGAGAATATAGAGGATTTTTAGGGCATTGAAAATACCCTGTAATGGTGGTTATTATGCATTTGCACAAACCCATAGAATATAAAATACCGAGAGTTTAGATTAAGTTAAACTATGGACTTTGGGTGATTATTGTGTGTCAATGTAAGTTCATTCATGGTTAAAACAAATAAGTGCATAGCTCTGATGGCTGATGACTGGGAAGGCTGCGTATGGTAGAGGCAGAGGGTGATGGAGAAACCCTTTACTTCCGTCTCCATTTTCTTGCAAATGTAAAACTGCTCTAAGAAATAAAGTCTTAAAAAGAATTATTATGCAAATAGTAATTAGACAGGAAAATGATACAAGTGAAAAGAATAATTCTAAGTATGGTGAATACCCTAAAAAATATATAATGACTACAGTAAAATGCCAAAAATTATTCAAACTGATAAATGTATACTACCAAAGTATTCAGAATGTCTCCTAATCACCAGAAAATAACAGAGAGACAGGATACAAAAATTTATTTATAAACCAAAAGAGGTTTATGGTATGTTTATAGAACTTCTAAGGCCTGATGAATAGCCAGATACTTTAAAAAATACTCTAAATTCTAGTAGAATAAATTTGGTGAGCTTCTTTAAAAAAAAAGTTTTATTGAGGTATACTTGATATACATAAAGAAATGTACATATATTTAATGTGTATAATTTCATGAGTTTGGACATATGCAAATACTGGTGATACCATCACCAAAATCAGGATAATAAACATATCCAGCACCCCTCAAAGTTTCCTTGTGTTCTTTGTGTGTGTGCGTGTGTGATATAAGAACGTTTAACATGAGATCTACCCCATTAATAAATGTT